ATATTTTACATATATATGTAAGAAGAAAAAGAACAGATTGATTCAAAGAAAATGTCACCACTAAGAACCCTGGAAACTCAGAAAACATGGTATTCTCTCAATTCCGAAGAAGTAATTAGCAGGAGGGTAGATTACAGGGGATGAAGATTTTCTATGGGTTGTGCATGTTGAGTTTCAGGCTGCAGTGACTTCTGAAGTGGATATGTTGAAAAATCATTTCAAGAAATGGAGCTGAAAATTAAGTAAGGGGTAATTATGACAGATCTAACTTCAGGGAAATGACACGAATGCAGGTGAGCTGGATCACAGAATCGGCGTTCTCAAATGCTCAGTCTGCAATGTATCATTAAGAAAAGGTTAGGAAAAGAATAGAGAGCAATGAAGGCAGAAGGTCAGTGAGGTAGAATAATCTAAGTCATGGAATTCTAGGGAAAGGGGTGGGTGGTTTGTAGGTTACAGTGTAACAGATAAACCAAGGTGAAATAAGCCAAGTATTCATGGAATCAGGTACTTTCAATTGGACCTTAAATGAGAGATATAATTACATCAGGAGAAAGAGTGGCAGGACGTTCTAGGCAAAAGAATCAGCAAGAATATGTTTGGAAGGCCAAGCGTGGTGGTGCACATGTGTAATCCCAGAACCCAGGAGGCTGAGACAAGAGGATCACTGCGAGTTCAAGGTCAGCCTGGGCTACAAAGTGCATTTAAGCCAGCCTGAACTACATAGTGAAGCCTTGGCTCAAAAAGATTTTTTTAATGAATAAACATGCAAAGAAATAGTACAGTCATCATATTTTACATGACTTGACTACCAAGCATAATTAAGCATAATTTTTCACTACATGTGATAGTAGCCTGTACATGCAGATTCGGGCATATCTTTAGGTCAGTAAATGTGTACTTTGACCACTTCAGGTACATATTAGATACTCTCACCTCAATTGTATGTTTCTTGTGCTCCAAGGAGTACGTCTCCTATTTGTTTGTTTGTTGTGCATTCAGCTTAACAATATGTGGTAAAGCAGTCCAGCAGAGGCTCGATCCAATTAACTGAACAACTGGTACTAAGAAAGAGCCCAAGAGTCCATAAACAAAGAAACCACCCTAAAGATAGAACGATCAAAACATGTTAAGAAAAAAAAACCTGGATGTTAATTGACTGATTTTACTGCCTTTTTGAAACGCCACTCCAAAAGAATGCTTTCCTCCTTTATTGTAGTAATGTTCAATTAATTTTTAAGGTGACATGATTTATAAAATTTCATCTCACAGTGTTCATCATACTTGTGATAATAATAACAAATGCTTTGTTGCCATCAAAAGAAATAAGCATTTTCACCTTTCAATCTCTGGGAAAGCCAAAACTATCTGAAACCATTTGTTAAGATAATTGCTTGTCAAATATTAAAAAAAAATAAGAGCCATAATGAGATTTTTCATCCATAAAAGGAGATGC